TAAATATATATAAAATATTTAATATTTATTCCTATTTGTTCTTAATCTTTTCTATTATATGCAGGACTTATATTGTAACCTAAAAAGATAGATATCTCACCCGACAATTGATAAAAAAAAGAAATGGAGATAAATGAAGAAGTTACATTACTGCAATTTCTTGAATTTTGTTGCAAAAGTAAGATGAAGACGATTTAGAATTTTTAATGAATATGTCTTCAAGTAATGACGAGAGCGAAAAAAAAGAAGTAAAAGATTTTATTATAGTTGTTTAGACCTAATAGACAAAGTGAAACACAAATTAGACCTCGCGTCGAAAAATATGTGGAAAGAATTGTTTCTAATTATACCGCTGAAGAATTTAAAACGGACTTCAGGTACAGTCAAAATAATCATTGTTATAATACTATAATGTTTTCTTGAACTCGAGCATTGACCATTGAGTTCAAGAAAACATTATAGTAACAATGATTATTTTAGAATAATTGTTAACATAAATTATGAAATTCCAATTGCTTTATTTACAGATTATTTTCTACAACCTTTGAATTCTTATTAGAATTAATAGGACTTATATATTAATTAAATCACTTAGTGGCAGAAAGCCACTGTACCAGTTCAGAAACAGCTTCTGTTATTTAGCTTTCTGTTTTTTTCTTTATGGATGATGGCAACATCTGATTCATATAGGTATAGTAATATATCTTAGCTTCTCATTAAGAAAAAGAAAAGTTTTTTATTATATCATTTTTTCATTATATGAAATACGAATTATAGGTCTGTGTGTATGTGAAATTTGACATAAGAAAAGCTATAGCAATTGATATTATGAGGAGAGTTACTTATGCCTTGCACACTCTTGCTCCATGATTTATTCAGTGGCCTCAGGTGAGAGAGCAACTAAAGTGATAGAAAAATTTGAAAGAGTTAGTGGATTTCGTAAACTTACAGGAGCTATTGATGACACGCACATTAAGATAAGATAGTTCCACAGGATAAACAATTATAGGATAAACAATTATACCGCAAAGGATATCATTCAATGTACAAGTAAAAATTTAAAAACTATCTTTAAAAATAATTGGAAGTTTTTATTAATTACTATTTTACCTTTTTAGATAGTGTTTGTACTGTAAAAGTTGCTCTTTAAAAGTGTTTTGACTGGGAATGTTAGATCGATGCACAATGCATGTATTTTTTAGCTCTCATCTATGTCAGACAATATATTGGAAATCCACAAATCTATTTTCCTAACGATTCTCATATTATCGGAGATACTGCCTATGTTATTCATCTTCATATCATGCCTTTTAAGGATAATAGGCATCTCAGACAGTTAGACAAAAAAATTTTTATTTTCTTCAACAAGAATTTCAATTTAAAGAGCAATTGGATTGTGGAAAGTATGCTGGAGAAGCATTCTTGATTGTTCAGCCATGAACACCATAGAAAAAATTCTTGAATGCTTAATAGCTACTTGTGTATTACACAATATTTGTATATTGAAAGATTTGATGGACTTTAATCAAGCCTATGAAGAAGATACATCATATGGAACATTAATATCTGCTAAAGTGGAGGATAGTGCTAAACGACAAAGAATTATGAATAATTTGATAATGAGGGTTAATTATGTTTTTAACTTTATTTAATACAATTTTTTTTACAGCAGATTTTATTTACTTTATTAATTATAAAAATATTTAATAAAAATAAAATGCTTGAAATGCAACTTAATTCATATGTATATAGTTTATTTACAATATAAATATTAACACAATTGTAAAAATATGATATAACCTTAATGTTAATACTTTTAAACGAAATAAACATCACGCGCATGTAAGATTGCAGAGTTGAATATTTGTGATACACAATTTGTGAATGTAGCGATTATATGAACTAAATATCGATTTATTATCTGGAGTTGAAAAATGGACGTATTATCCTCAGAGTGGACATATTACCTTCAGAAAAGTGGATGTATCCTCAGAACTAAGTAGTTTACATCCACTTTGTCAGGGGGCAATAGTGTGAGGCAGCATTTTGTAGTTACAGGTTTGAATGTCCTCTCTCAGATTTCTCTCTGCTATAAGAAAATCGTTATGAATTGAAAAAATTAATAGAAAAGATTGGAAATCCTAAAAAAAATGATTTATATATGAAGTAAGATATATACGCTGTATTAAATATTGTGCTTAATGACTGAAAATTGAATATTTATTGCCCCAGCAAACGAGAATGAATTAAAATGGATTGAAATTTTCTTTCTATCCGAATACGTATTTTAAATAGCGAATACTTTTTTTGGATTCAATTGGATTCAATTAGAATCAATTGAATGCAATTGGATTGAAAAACTGCATTTCCTATTCAAAATTTTGGATTGAACGGTATTCGCAATATAAAAAAAGAAAAAGCTAATATTATTTTTAGATTGAAAGGCATAGAAATATGCTCCATGCAATTCCTATAAATAAAAATGCAGTCAGAATTGAAAAGCATTCATTTTAATATTCATGAATCAATATTTCTGAAAATCTGAATCCATTTCAATTCATTTTAATCCATTCTTATTTGCTGGGGCATTAACATTTTATAAATGCATTTTTCTAATGATATGTGGGAAAAACCTTGTATAAACGGAAACTGAAACATAATACAGTACCAATAATTTTTTAATTACAGACACAAGAAAATGATACTTTAGCAGAAATAAGAAATGATCACGTTTCTTACAAGACATCTCATAAGTATGTGTATGTAATAAACGCTACGAGCGATAGCGCTAATAAAATTGTTAGACATTTTAAAAATGAGAAATTGAATAATAATTGCGTGCTACAAGTATTGTAACACTTATTGACATACAATTAAGTCTAACAAGTTTTCAATACATCCAATTGTAAGAAACGCTCTTAGAATTCGACGTACTGAAATAATTGTTTGATTTGTATCAATAATAATTTTAATTACATGCTTATCGTAATTATTGTCTAATTCCGCTCTTTTATTACATTTCTTTAATAATTTTATCAATGTAATTGAAAAACAATCCGATACTCAAAGGGTTGAATATTCATTTTAATTTTATCACTCTAATTTATAATTTAACGAAATTATATTTAAAGTCTGTGAAAGAGAAAGAGATAATGTAGTAGATGGAAAAAGTAAGAAGAAATGTATTTTTATAAACGTGTAAATTCATTCGATCAGTATGCGCCCTGCGCGTAAAGCGCTCGTGTCTAATTGTAAGTGCCGTTTCCTGCCCGTCTTCTCCACGCAGCCCGTGATACGTTAACTTTCTTCTTGTAATTTGAAAACTAAGCTACAAACAAAATTTTCGTAAAGAAAAAAATCATCTTAGAATTAAGTCAGGAATATGATACTTTAAAGACAAATGTTTTTTCTAAATTACCTTATATATTAGGTGTACAACTTTGCTTCCGCCGTTTTCCTATAGATGGCTTTAGCGGTAAGTGGTGGTCGAAATAAATAGATCATAGACGTCATACAATAAACTTGGGCATCTGTCAACATAACCCCATAGAAACATTAGTCGATTTGTGTCTGCATCATAAAGTTATTCTCGATTGAAAATGTCAGTTTACGAGCCAAATTCTCGTCATTTGCGGGAGGTTTTAATTTTTTGCTTCAATATGAAGAAATCTGCGGTTGAGGCTCATCAAATGCTCTCAAATACTTATGGTGAGGCCGCTATTAATGAAAGAACGTGTCGTGAGTGCTTTCAATGCTTCAAGAATGGTGATTTTGACGTCGAAGACCGGCATAGCGGTGGAAGAGAGAAGATTTTCGAAGATGCAAAATTGGAGGCATTACTTGAGCAAGACTCGTGTCAAAATCAAGAAGAATTGGCACGATCATTGGGAGTGACTCAACAAGCCATTTCAAAACGCCTCAAAGCCATAGGAATGATTCAGAAGCAAGCCGTACAAATTGAAGCCGAGAGATATTAAACGGCGTTTGTTTGCTTGTGAACAGCTGCTTGAAAGGCAAAGACGAAAGGGATTTCTGCATCACATTGTGACTGGGGACGAAAAATGGGTTCATTACGATAAGCGCAGAAAATCAGGGGAGTTCCCGGCCATGCTTCCACGTCGACGGCCAAATTGAATATTCACGGTTCCAAGATCATGCTCTGTATTTGGTGGGACCAGCTCGACGTAGTGTATTATGAACTGTTAAAACCGACTGAAACAATCACAGGCGATCGGTATCAAACGCAATTGATGCGTTTGAGCCGAGCATTGAAAGACAAACGGCCGCAATACAACGAGAAACACGATAAAATGATTTTGCAGCATGACAATACTCGACTCCATGTTGCGAAAGTGGTCAAGACATACTTGGAAACGTTGAAATGGGAAGTCCTACCCCATCCACCGTATTCTCCAGACGTTGCTCCCTCTGACTATCACTTGTTTCGATCAATAGCACGCGGCCTGGCTGACCAGCACTTCCGGTCTTATGAAGAAGTAAAAAATTGGATCGATTCGTGGATAGCCTCAAAAGATGACCAGTTTTTTCGACGCGGGATTCGTACGCTACCCGAAAGATGGAAGAAAGTAGTGGCCAGCGATGGACAATAAAAAATACTTTGAATCATAAATGTATAACCAGTTTTTTACAATAATGTCTCGAATTTCGGAAAAAAACGGCGGAAGCAAAGTTGTACACCTAATATGTGCCAAAGCGCAAGTCGATGGGTCGTTCGGAAAGTTTGTGCCGCAAAAGATTTAAATTTAATAAATGAAATTAAAAATTTAAATCTTCTGCGTTTCAATTTTCCTTCAAAATCGGTACGAACTTTCCGGACGATCCAATAGCTCATGAGAAAAATATGCTCGATTTGAAAAAAAGTCGTTTTGAGAAAAACGCGTTTAAAGTTTCTCATGCATTTATAAGATGAATAATGTAATTTCAGTAATTTACCCTTAATCAATACTGTACTAGCCGTATAAAATACTTTCCTTGAAGAGCTCGAGAACACACTAATCTTTGTAACGGAAATTTTGAACGAAATTTCATAGATTAGGCTGCATTTGGAAGCATCATCATATATTTCTGCATATCATTTTATCCTTATTACTTAGTCAATTAAATAAGGATAACATGATACATGAGGGCAGGTGATGTTTCCGAACGCATCCTTACAAAAAATCATCTTGAATTACATACGGCACCATCTGGCTACATAAAGTAAGGACCATGGCACACAAAAGCTTAAGACAGTAAGACGTAAGCAGTAAGGAACATATTGGATTGGTTTCACTGTTTATGTCATAGCCTTACGGACTTTACAGTGATTGGTTAATTTGCTTACTATTTGACGCATATAGTCCAATTGCTGGACGTAATCTCTCCTAAACCTTTGTAGCTCAGTCAATTTAACGAATTTCATCTTAACATTTTAAGGACACATTTTTAAGACCCCAAATTACAAGAAAAAAAAAATTTTTTTTGACCCGTCAAAGTTAGAATACTCCCTTAAATCCTATTTAACGATCCTTGCTTGCATTTCATTTTATTTACTGAGATAGGAGCAATAAATTACACAAAATTCCAATAGCATTCTTTTAATATTTTCATAATGACTCTCTAGTTATATTCTTGCAAAATTCACATAACCTGCGCGCAAGATTCATGTAACTGTAACATGCATGTAGAGTCAAATAACATACTTGTAAGATTCATGTGACATGGATGTAAGATTCACGCAAGATTCTTGATTTATTTACAGGTATCGTATATTATATGCAATATATTATATGATCTTATATGTTCCTGTCCTGTGAAATTCATGTGAAAATTTTCTTGTAAGAAATTTGCAGCAGGCAAATATATATACTTGTACTATCAAAAGAAATGTCTTACTTTGAAACAAAATTATAAACTGAAAAACAAATTTTCAGTCTTTAAATTTCTTTATATTCTTTCTGTCATTATAATTTTTTTCATAAGTTTTTGAAACTTTATCAAAGTTACTTTTTCCGTAATACTTTTCTTTTATATAGGTTAATGTTCGGCTGCGCTCGCTGCGTTTTGAAAAAAAACGGCTGTCACATAATGCCTCCTAGAGATCCTATAATCAGAGTTTAACGAATGTGGACCAAAATGGCGGATAGAAAGAGATAACAGATATTGCTTTCTTGTATAAATACATGCGCAAAGTGTTAGAATACGTAACAGGCAATACATGATAATACCTGAAGAAACCAATCGAATTGATCAATTGTAATTTGTTAATTTTCTCTTTCTCAAAACGATTTTTAATCTCTTTGACACAGGTTTTACTCATCTGCTTATAGCTATTGTTACTTGTTCCAGACCTCAGGATTTTATATTTCACAGGAAAGGGGAATTAGGAGTAGTGTTACTAGATATGAACGCTTTTCTGGTGCATGCACATTGAAAAGAGGCTTCAGTAACGTATTAAAATCATAAAAATATAGGTATTATTAGAGTCTTTGTTTCAAATTTGCAGTTGAAGTGAAACACATGAAATGGTCTCTTCCTGTTATTTTTCGAAAAGAATCCTTAACATTGTCTCTCAGTCATCATCTCTCAGTCAAAAGTATATGAAAAAATACCACATCCGA